TTCTTTTGGAACTCCCTGGTGTGCTCCGTTATCCATCGTATGTTTGCAGTGTGGTCCTTTGTGCCTCTTCCTTTCCTGAACCCCAGTTGGATCCCTGGGATTTCTCTCTCCATATATGGTTGTAGTCTATGCTGCAGAATTTTGAGCATAATTTTGCTTGCATGGGTCCTACATAAATAATAGTAAATAATAAGCATGACATATAACTGTAACACACTCATCCTTGCCTCCAAGTGTGAGTGAGGATTGCCTAGAGAGATGCTCTTCCTCCCACCCTTGATTTGGCAGCTGGAGCAAAAAAAGCTGGCAACATCCCCTCCAAATACAGTGGGACATCCCCTCCAAATACAGTGGTCCCTCTACATTCACTGGGGTTAGGGGTGAAGGACCCCTGTGAATGTGGGAAAACTGCAAATGAAAAAGCAGGTCATGTTTTTTTACCTGAGAGAATACCTCTCTAGGAATCTTCAGGTCCAATAATGACCACTGAGGACCTTCACAAGTTCAACCTAGACAACTCTGTTCAACCTAGACAACTCTGTGGTCAAGATCTGCCAGAAGTTGATCATAGAATCATATTGGAGGATCTAGAAATGCCTAGAGAAGTGTTTTCTCTAGGAACGTCTAGGTTCTCCAGCCCAACTCTGTGGTCAACTTCTGGCAGAGTTGCGCTGGAGGGCTTAGAGATTCCTAGAGAGAACATATTAATCAAAACCACAAATAATCAAACCTGCAAAAATCAAAGCCGCAAATAAGGAGGGCCAACTGAACTTCCCCCAGAAGTCCCCACCAGCTCCTTTGGGTCTCCTTGAGAGCAGGTCTCCTTGGCTGGGATTGCCAAGAGAGGCTTTGCAGAGCCAACCTCTCCATTTTGATAGAATCATAAAGCTGGCGGAGATCTCAAGAGCCAGCTTTTGCAAAGAGGGCAAATCTTTCAATGGGTGGGTGGTGACTGGGTGAATTTGGAGACCCTTTTGAGGATGCTGTCCTAGGAGTGAGAGATTACAAGTGGGGAGGACACACCTTTGGCCTGAGAGATGGCCCTTAATCCTTCTCTGTCCTGGTCAGCCAATCGGTCATTTGGCTGCTCCTCCAAGGGTCTGGGGAGAGCTGAACCAGGGAGGCTGCCTTGCAGGGAGGTTGGAGCAGCTGAATAGCTTTTGGGGGTGGTGGGGCGAACACAGGGTGGCGAGACATTTCCCCTCTTGCTGGCTGTGCACCCCCTTCCTCTCTCAGCTTTGAGACCCCAGAAGGGTCCCTTTTCCCTCCTTGCCAGAGGTAAGTGGCTGATGGAGAGGCTGATGGACGGCATCTACCCTTCCTCCTCTCTGATTCTGATGCTGCTGCTGCTGCTGCTGTGCCGAGGCTGGGCGAGGGCTCCTCCGCACCCCCTCCTCTGCTCCTCTGCCTCTTTGTTTTCTGACAGCAGCCTCCTGGCCTCCCTCCTCATTCCTGTGCTGTAGTCGTGGCAAAGCAAAGAAACCTGCCTGCAAAAGAGGAGGAGGAAGAGGAGGAAGAGGACGGTGACAGCCCTTGGTATGGCACACAGAAGGCAGGGAGGGCAGTGTCTGTGCTGGGGGGTGGGGAATGCCGCCTGAGGCCCCTTTTATGTACCTTTGGGGGAAATCCACTTGCTCCCTGGTCCCTCCACGAGGGGCTCTTGGCGGGAGTTGGGGGTCGGAGGTCACGCTTTCCTTTGGAAGATTCGGCTCACTGCTGCTTCGGTGGCTGGCGGCTGCTGTGTGTCGCCTCTCCAACAATGGAATGAGGCAGCCAAAGGGGCTCTTGTTGGTATTTCTGCAGGCTGAGGGTTGGGTGCGGGGAGAGAGACCTGTGTTTTTGTGCGTTTTGTCTGAAAGGAGGGCAGGGGAGGCGGTGATGGTGGTGGTCAGGAGTTCCTGGTTTTTGCATGTGTGTCTGAGGACATCGGTAAAACCCAACTGAGGCTTAGCAGGAGTTGTGCAAGGAGGATGGAGAGGAGAGGTAGGACTTTCCTTGATTTATGGTTGTATGCATAGGATGGGGAGGGCAGGTGGGGGAGAGAGGTATCCAGGAGATGCTGTGGCCTGCACTGTCCCAGGTGCACTCAATTTCTTTTTTCTCTTCTGTACATTCCTCCGCAGGATTCCTGCAGCAACAGCAGCATCCTCTTCCTCCTCCTCCCATCTTCTCCAGCCTTTCAGTTGCCCTGTTCTTTGCCCCTTCCTTTAAGGATTGCATGCCAGGCTGCAAGGTGCCCATCTCTCCTGTGCAATTTGAGGTGAGGAGGCTCTGGACCGGCCTGCAAAGCCATGAGTCTCCCTTTTCTTACAGGCACTGCTGTGAAGTGCAGGGAAGCATCTCCTGAGAGAGTAGTCCTACCACAACCCACTGCTTGCTTGCCTGCCTGTCCACCCGGAGGAACTTGGAGCTGCCTACCTTGAAGCCAGAGCATGGCGTTTCCCAGAAGGGTCTCGTAGCCCCTGCTTGGCCCTTGGTTCAGTCTGGTTCCTCTGTTTCTCCTCCTTGAACCTGTGTGCTTTACCTTCAGGTCAGGCCTGGCTTTCCAGCCTTACTTCTCTCAGAAGCTGGTGGCATCTCCTCCACGCACTGATTTTGGAGAAGGCACCCTGAGTTGCCCCTGAGACAATTTGTTCTTTGCTGAGCAGTAGACTCTACGGATTAATTTCTCTTTTAAGTGGTGTGTGTGAGGCCAATGCTCTATTGCCCAGAAAACCTTTTCCTTCCATCTCAGAAGTAGGGATTAGGAGATTGGAGGCTGCAGTCCCTCAGAGAAGTAAGAGGAAGACATTCTGCTTAGGCTCAGGGGCATGCTGCTTCTGTGTCTTGCAGACTTCAGGGCTGTGTTCCTAGCAAGTGTGGCTTTGCATTCTAGGAGAATGTTTTGCTGTTGTTAGTTTTTTGTGGGTTTTTTGGGCTGTGTGGCCATATTCTAGAAGAGTTTCTTTCTGACGTTTCGCCAGCATCTGTGGCTGGCATCTTCAGAGAAAATTTGTTCAGAGGAGGTTTGCCATTGCTTTTCCCTGAAGCTGAGAGAGTGTGACTTGCCCAAGGTCACCCATTGAGTTTCATGACCAAGCAGGGAATCAAACCCTGGTCTCCAGAGTCGCAGTCCCACACTCAAACCACTATGCCACAAATGTACTGTAGCAGATCACACAGCCTCCCCATCCTTTGTCTCAGCTGCCCACCTTAACATGGTGCGGGGGTCTGAGTGTGTTGGATTCAGCCAGTCAATGGCAGGACAAGGCCAGGTGAAAGCTTCCAGGCCCCCTTTCTCTTGTCCAAAGAGAGGTCCAGGCATATAGCCTCCAGTACAACAAGACCTAGCGATACTTGTCAGGGACCTGCTCTTTGCCCACCATCACCCCTTCCATCTTCTTTATCCTCTTCAGATCATCCCCTCTTCTCTGGCAAGTCTTGCACAATCCCTTGTAGCTGCACGGAGCCTCTTTCTTGCATTTCCTCATACTTGAGTCATTGGAGAGAGACGCTCGGTCTCCCCACCCATGACTTTTTTCTTTGAAGCAGGCCCGGTGGCTCCGGCTTTCTGACCACCGCCAGCACCACTCTGACTGCTTGCAGATTCCACTGCAGTGAGAGAGGGATGACCAGGCATCCCTTTCTGCCCTCTGAGTGTCCTCACAACAGACCCACACACACAGGCATACACTTTCACCTTGGAGGATTTGGTTCGCTGCTGCTCTCAGGAATTATTTCCCAACGACTTCAGCTTCTTCCTGGTTTGGACAGTTTCCAGACCAGAGAGAGAAAGTGCTCTGGGGCTTTTATCATCCGTCTGTTCTGCGATGCCTCCTCCCCAGTTCTGGTTGGAGCTGGGCTGCCAAAAATAGACAGAATCTCTTCCTGGGGCTTTGTCAGAAGTAGGAACGCCTGAGGCTCCTTTCGCAGCGCTTGGCCCGAGAGACCGGGCAGGGCCTGTGGGGAAATGCTTTGCAGAACAGCTGGCATTACCTCCATCCATGTTTGGGGGCAAAGGAGATTTCCTCTTCATTTCCCTTTGCCCCAGGCTTTTTGACAGGAGGGGGGGATCATGGGAACGGTGATAGTTTCTGGGCAGTCCCATGACCTGGGTTTGAGATTTGTCCATCATGTTTTGTCATTTCTGCAGGTAAAAGTAGATAGCCATGATTGCTTTAAGAGACCTGTCCAGGAACTCCCAGTGCCCTGATGGAAGTGGGCACCAGGTACATTGATCAAGAAATGCCCTTCCAGAAGGGAAGTTCTGTGTCTGTGCATAAGTGTGTGACACAAAGAGAGGTGTACATATGCTTGGTGTGCTCTCAGGGCATACTGGCTCCTCCTGGACATGCACCAAGAGTAGAAAAGAGGCTTGAATGCCATGTGGGCAGAAGGACCCTCTTCCTGTGAACCTGGCTGTGGCTCTTTACAGGTGGTTGTCTTAGCAAAATGGAGGGGCGACAGTCTTGATTTGGCTCACCTGCATAGAAGTGAGTAGCCATGGTATGTAAGAGGAAAGTTCTTTTGCTGATTCCATGGGGAGGGAGAGTGTTGGCTCATCCGCCTTGTTATCTCTGACCCGGCCTAGGGCTCTGTCTTGTACTGACTCAGGCGTCCCTTTGTCTTTCCACCCAGTCAGGAGGATTGGCCAACCTGGCTTCATGAGATGCTTCAACTGGGGGTACTGGGAAGGGTGATGGCTTAGCCTTCAGGGTGCAGTGCATGGTCTCCGTACTGCACTCCCTTCCCACCTGGTCACTCTTATATGACCAAGGCAGTGAAGAATAGTTGGGAAGAGGCTCATGGAAGGATGGAGGCAGGCCTGCTGGCCAGAAAGGACCCTCTAGTCGTGGTGGGCATTGTTCTAGCCTTGAACACAGGACGAGCCCCCCACCCAACATGCTGTGGTGGCCTCTTCCAAAAGGGCTCAGTGCGTCCTCCCTTAGACAGCCCAGAGCGATGGCGTTGTCCGAGTGAGGATGAAGCAGGTGCCAGGTCTGATGGGGATTTGGGGAGCTGGAATGGGTACTGAGCAGTGTTTTGGGGTGGGGGTGAGCCTGTGATATGTGGAGGAAAGGCCTAGTGTGGGGGAGTTGAATCTTAGAATCTTAGAGCTGGAAGGGGTACTAAGGGCCATCTACTCCAACCCCTTTCTGCCCTGCAGGAATCCCCTTCCAAAGCATTCCTGAGAGTGGGATGCCCAGTCTCTGTTTAAAAAGCTCTAAAGCAGTGCCTCTCAGGGACCAACAATGATTTTCTCCCAGTGTGCCATGGATCCAGACCATATTTGACTACTGCTGTTTCTTTCTTTCCTGGAAACTTGATGCAGACCTGCAGCCGATGGCTCTGGGACTGCAGCCAGCCAATGGACCACCGCTTTGGGCAGCTCTGATCCATAGAAGCCGGAGAGGGGGTCTGCTCCAATGTGGAAGGGCTTTTTTGGTCAGTGAGTGCTTCTGGTCAGCAGGAGTCTTGGGGTTTTCCTCTTCCTAGTTCCTAAGTGGCCCCAGCTATGTCTTTCCTTCCTGGCTGCCTTAGAGGGGGGCTATTTCATACTCACTTGAGTAGCATGTGCTGGGGACCTGCCTCAGGGGCAGTGGTGGTGGGCTCCACTTTTGCCTCTCTCCCCTCCTCTTCTTGAGCCTATCCATCCTTAGTTTGCTGGGGGAGGAAGAAGAGGAGGAGGAGGAAGGCCAGCCGGCGTCCAGCCAGCCTTGTTGGGCTCTGCAGCCCTGAGCAAAGCAGGCAGCTGCTTTTGCCTGGAAGGCTCATAGCTCTATATAAGGGTTCCCAGCTGGAAGACGGAGGAGGAGAGAAGATCGGCCAGCCACCCGTGGGGACCAGGCTTCAGCTCCTGGGGAGGGGAGCAGCCCAGCTGAGACCGCTTTGACCGGCAGATCCCCCTCCCCGCTTGCTGACCCCAGATTTCTAGAGTCCGGCTTCCCCGGGGGAGGTAACCCATCTGTGTGTCTCCTGCCTGTCTCTTTCTGGAATGTGTGTGTGCTAGAATGGCTCCCTTTCCCAACCATGGCTAGAATTAATCAGTGGATTTTTTGGG